AAAAAAAAAAAAAAAAAAAAAAAAAAATAAAAAAACACATCATAGTAAAATTAATACCTTCTCAGCTTCGCATCGAAGCTAAAAAATAAAAAAAAACACATCATAGTAAAATTAATACCTTCTCAGCTTCGCATCGAAGCTAAAAATTAAATAATAAAATATTTTATTAAGCTCAAAAGCGTAATATTTCTAATTGGTTAAAATAGTTATATTTCAAAACTTCATAAAAATTGATGAACAAAAAAAAAAAAAAATTTAATTATATTTAAGCTTCTATTATTAAAATTGCACTTATGATGCACAAGTAATGTTGGAGAACCATTTTAATATATCTGTTAGCTTGAAACACAGGACAATTTTGATAGTGTATGGGGATCTCACACCCTCTGCTTAGTAAAACTGAATCATTTTAGTTGATAATTTTTTAATTTCAGAGAATACTATCACAATATAATAAAAAGATAGTATAATCTAAAAAAGTTATTCAATCAGCAAAAATAAATATTTCACCAGAGGAGGTCATATTTTTAGCTTTAGGACAGCCCTGCTGAGACTAGTTTTAAAAAAATGCTAATTTTTTAAGGGGAATATTGCTTTTATAACTCCCTTTTGTATTTGCGCCAGGATGCAGTACAGCGTCTAGTTATAATGTATCTAATCTATTTTATAATGTAACACTGTTAATTTTTTTTTTCATTTCATAGAAAAATTATTTACAATATCTAAATTTTATTCATAACTTGTTTAATATTTCTATGTTATTAGTTTACAAATTTAAGTTCCTATCAGGTAATAATTTAAATCATAAAGTATCGTTTTATAATATCTTTCATAGATCTAATACATTGCACAGTATATATGTTTAGTTTTATTAATCATTTCGATGTTAATTTTAATTATGTATATTTATTGATGTAATACTAATTCATGAGTAAATTAAACATGGTGTGATGCTCCATCTACATATAGATTTTATAAAGCCAGTCGTTTATGCTGTTCATTGAATAGAGGTTGAATTATCTAAAATTACGATAAATTTAAATTAGGTGTAGCGTTAAAATTTACAATTACATGACTAATTTTTGCATTTAAATACTTACTGGCTGTAAAACAAAATTTAGCATTTTTGCTTCGTTGTATTGTTTATTTTCCACTGTTACCATTTTAGTTTCTGACAAATAACCGTCCACGGAGGCAGTAATTCGGTATTCTCCGTTCGTTAAAAGTCTATAGTAATCACCATTTTGAACTAAACAAAAACAACTATTATTTCTTTGTAAGTAAAAAACCATAAGGGCACAGTTATAGATGTTTAAAAAGTTTTAAATGGCTCTCCAAAAATGTTGAGAAATTATAGACACGCACCCTATATGTTGCATAAGTGGATTTATCTTACCTGACGTTATATCGTGAAAAATTGGTGTCTCAATACCATTTGTCACGTTTACTACTCTAATGAACGCATTTTGTAATGGTTGTAATGTAACAGAATCTTGAACAAAACCTTTTACCCCTATATGGACCTAAAAATTATAAAAAATAAAATATTGTTAATTTATGTTATTGTTTAATAATACTATCTTGAAGTTTAATATGAACAATTCAGTATATTACCTGCCAAATTAAATTGATAAGCGCATTTTTGTTCCTTTCCCATTCTTTTTCTAATGCGTTTTCAGGGGTGTATTTATCACAACCCAACTCCAAAGTTATTTCAAAATCATTAGACGACAAGTAATTAAAATCTTGCATACCTAAAGTACATTATTTATCATAGTTAATGAGTAATATTACAATATAGTATTATGAGGCAAGATTATTCTTATAAAAATCATAGCAAAAAAATTCTTATTAACAGCGTTAAAAATTCGGTATATACTGAACAAAATTCATTTAATGCCAAATCACGACTGGTTTGAGTTTCTCTATTACATTAATATCTCATATCAATAAATACAATTTTTTTTTTATAAAAAGAAAAACCTTTTTTTACTTAATTAGAGTGATGTGAGATATTTATAAATGAATGATTTCTTTTTAATATCTAGTAGAGATTATTTTAGATTGAATAGTTTTAGTTATTATATGTGTTGCCATAATATTATTTGAAATATAAATTAAATATACATAGATCAAGCTGTATACAATTTTGGCAGTTATATGTTATAAGTATATATATATGTGTGTGTGTATGTGCATATGTCTTCTATATTTTATAAGATATAAATTGATGCAAATCGGTGCAAATTATTTATAGTTATTATAGTTGATAATTAAATCTATCAATTTTGAAAAAAAACGCTCAATTTTAGAAATCTAAAAATATATCTCAAAATCACGCTATCATAAAAAAAGAATTTTTTAACATTTTAATTTTTTTTTTTTAAATATTGATTTTAATGAAGTATATCCAATGAAAAATTCAAGGTCAGAAATAATTTGAAAAAGACCATCCACGTATTTAATTGTCTTTCAACTCAATTTTTTAAAATGTTCCGACATATCAGTAACGATGCGTTGTTATGTAAATATTAAGATTTTCAACATTCAGAGAAAATTAAAAAGAAAATAACATATAATAGTGAAATATTAATAAAACAAAAAATAGAAAAATTATATCAATTTTTGAAAATGTTCTGGAATGTCTGACAACTTTTAATCTACATTAAATTAAAGATTTTTAAGAGTAAGTTATGGTTTAAAAAGAAAAACGTTCCGACAGTAATTTTTCTATGAGTTATTCGACTATAAATCCAAAAATCGCAAAATTTCCATAAAAATGTGTTAGTTGTTTTCATTTTGCTAAAATAGTTTCATAAATATATTCTTAACGAAATTTTAATAAAAAATATATAAGAGACAATAATTTTTCTTTTGGTATGATTTTTCTGAAAATTCAATGAAAAACCTAAGCACATTTTAGTATAAATTTTTAATTATACTATTTGTATATTATGGTAGTAGTAATATAGTGTTACTCGATAAAGTTTTGTTCGATGGTTTCTTACCTCCTCTGACACTGTACCACTTAGCACCATTTGTTATACCACCTTCTTTACCAAAATTTATATCACCTCCTCTACATGGTAATCTATTAGCGTTAGCCATATCAGCATGTTGATTTGCGTATGATAGAGCTAACCATCTGGAAAAAAATAGAAACTGATATAAAAAAAATTGTCTACAATATCTATAAATATATAGACTTTTAAGAATATATTAAAACTAACAAACCTGAATGTATCATCATCTGGACTTTTAGCATATTCACCTTGTACGTTTCCATACCTACTAGCATCATATGGATAGTTTGCGACTAAATCACCTCCGTGGAGATTTGCAGATGCTACAAATGGTATGGACATAATCAATTTCATTACAGCTTTTGTCTCTGGTTGTATCTAAACGCATACAAATTCATGAAATATATTAAACATATGTATATAAATATACATAAAAGTATAATTATTTAAAGACTTAGCAATTATTTATTGTCATAAGCGTAATTAGAGAGGGATAGAGGGGCTTAGTACCTCCAAATATTTAGAAAATTGTATATTATTAATTATGATTATTGTATAATTATAATATATATACATATATATATGTAAAAATTTAGTGTGATGGAAAAATTAATTTAACATCCTCAAAAATTGTGTTCTAGTTGGGCCTATGTTTATTATGAGCACCAAAAAAATCGTAATATATTTTACACAACAGAAAGATTTTTTAGAAAAAAAATGTCTAATTTTATAATTAAGGACCGGAAATATATGCATTTATAAATTTTGTTTGAGCCACTTTAAAAAGTTCCAAAGTGCAACTTTGTCTTCAGATTATATAGTAGCTTGGAAATGTTTTTCGTTTTAGGGGATATAAACACCTCTTTACCACCCCCAAATTATAATCTCGGTAACAACACATTATTAAATTTTCACACTATTAAATATTAATTAATAAAAATTTTTACTGGCTAATTGTGTGTTCGGAATAACTTAAAAACATTTATAAATGCATATGATTCATAAGTAAATAAAAATTTTAATAGTGTATTTAACTTAAATTTAGTCTGGTAAATTAATTTAAAGAAGTAAAATTATTTTAAATTAGTTCAATTTAGATGAAAAATTTGAAATGACTATCTTTTTCTTTTGTTAATTAGTTTTAAACTCATTTAAAATTAATAGGTATTTAATTTATTTTATTATATTACATACCGGAAATTGCAAATGATCTAACATTTGCATTAAGTGATTGTTAATATCTTTATAGTATGCTTCATTGTCGTATACTATGCGATCCAAGTCTGGAAAATTTCTATTTAAATCTACCCCAGCCGCATTATCTCTTCCCACTAGGTAATTGCTTCCTCCCTTTAGATGTTATAAAAAGAATTAAACAATGTTATAAAATTAATCACTCACCCATAGGCGATCATATCATGAAAATTAATTAAAATTTAATTAAAAGTTCCGTTTTTTTTTGCTAATTAGTGTTTTTTTTTTTTAATATTTAGACCTCAAAAATTTTAGGAGGGATGGATCAAGTCTTAAACATCTTGGATGATCGCCTATGCTTATACTGCATTAAAATGTTGACATATATCATACGTCATCTGTTGATTTTTGCCATCCATCAGGATTCATTGATGGCATTAGGTGTATCCTAGTTTTAGTTATTAGCTTAACAATTTCTTCGTTACCAGCAAGAAATTCTTCACATAGGAAATCGGCTAATTTAAGTAATAGTTCTCTTCCTAGTACTTCATTTCCATGCATGTTAGCTATATACTTAAATTCAGGGACCACTGTAAAAAAGTTAGTTTGGTATTTTTCTAATGTTGAAACTTTATATATTTTAGGAACTTCATTAAAATTACCTTCATAAATAAAAATTAAATTAATAATTTAAAATTATTAAGAACGATCTTTTAGTAAAAAGTCAAAATAAAAATATTTATGAACTAAAAAACTTTCTTTTTGAAAATTAACTTGTAAGTATAAGGAATATCTATTCCTAATAATATTATATCTAAAAATATATTATAATAAATATACAAATAATATATGTCTCTTTTGAATATTTTTATGAAGAAATTCCTTCACAAGTAAAACAATCTAGATGATGAACATAAATAAACAAAAAATAGTCTATTTAAGTATTAAGTTAAAGTCTGATAATTAAATCCTAAAAGGTTGTTTACATTCTACTGGTTATAAATTTAATTTCCTTAAACGTGCTAATAAAGACGAAATATTCACGCGAATAGGTTTTTTTTAAGAAATCATGTTTTTTTGTCATTAAATTTATTATTTTTATATTGTTATACAACATCTTTTTATCCATAATAGGATCTTACTTGGCTTGTGCAATGTAGGATGTAATGAGAATACAATAGTCATTAGAGGGCGACCTTCAACAGAAGTTTCTGACAGACTGTATACACTAGTAATTCTTGGGCATTTTTTGTGTATTGTTAACAAAGTCTCATACATTTCCTTATTGTTATGATGTTTAAATTTAAAAACGGCTTGCTCCCGTATTCCAGTAGTAGCTCCATTGGCCATAGAAATAATCATTAACCACAAGGCCCAAACAAGGGACATTAGAAGAAACATTCTAAAACAAGATATAAAAAATATTATTAAAAATTTATTTAGTAAAAAATGCATTAATTTCTCAGAACCATAATAATTTTATTCATACCTGGGCGATTTGATCATTATATTACATGTATTACCGTCAATTCATAATTATAAGCATAATTATTAAATCGCACTGTGAAATTTGAGCGAATTATATAGAGCAGAGACAATGTTTAAATCCGTGTGTATGTTTTAGTCTTGACAGGTTTATAACTATAGAATGAAACCATAAGCTCACAAACTGAGCATGCTCCAAACAATTCTATGGGTGGTAAGTTTTTATCGCGCGTAGAATACGCGGTATATTGATTTGTCACTGATGACGTAAAACCTGTGGAAACCCTTTGCATTAAATGATAAAATAACACAACTTAACTTCTACCAATTCATTTAAATTAATTAATATTCAAAAAAATACAATTAAATAAAAATAATTAAGAGTTTAAAGAAACAAAGTATACTTTATAAGTAAAAAAACGTAAATATAGTTTTAAACAAAAATCTAAGTTTCAAAAATTTAAAACGCATATAAAAAAATAATATTAACATATTTTTTAAATACATGTGGTGCAATGTAATAATGTATTTTTCTATAATTATTCTGTAATATTAATGTGATAAAGGATNTTTTAAATACATGTGGTGCAATGTAATAATGTATTTTTCTATAATTATTCTGTAATATTAATGTGATAAAGGATATTTTTACACCAAAAATTAGAGAGTAATTTAAGATTGCTGATAAAAATTCTAATTTGAAAAAAATATATAAGTAAAAATATTAAGTACTCTAATATTCACCAATACTTGTGAATTTGCATATTTAAATGTAATTATTGTAACTTTTTAACTTTAAAATTAAGATAAAGAATAATTTTCAAAATTCTACTAACTTAGTGAATTTGTATGACTAAATTTAGATGTTTACAAGTACTTTAAATTTATATTATACATATAGAAAATTTAAGTAAAATTATTTTAATTATACCAAAAAATTTTCCTAATAAACTTTAAATTAAATTTAATATTTTTATTTATGCAATATTACTCAATTATATTTACAAAACTGAAAAACTTAAAATGTGTTATTTATTTTAAATAATATGATGGTTTCCCATTTAGTTGTTAAGATAAAACTTAGAGAAAACTTGATTTTTATTTTCTTTTTAAATTTACATTATTGATTCATAATATTTTACTTTTACGATATTTATTACTAATATGTTACTTTAATTGTAATAATCATTACTTGTATTAATATATATGCAGGGACATATTTGAAAGGTGGCAATGGTGGGGATATGCGCAGGGCATTCAATTTGTAAGAGGGGGAAAATTAAAGTTTTTGTCCCGCAAAAATTAATTTTTATAAAACAATGCATATAATTTTGCTACATTTCGTGGGTGACATAAAATTGTAAATTAGAGGTCAAGTTCCCTATTCCCTAACCAACGCCTATGAGGTTTATTCATATTTTAATTGTTTATTAATTTTAAGCTAATTATGAGCAAAAAAAGTCAACAACAATTTTTATATTAAAAATACACAATCATAAAATAATTTAAAAATTATAATAAATGTTATTTAATTTAGTTTTACGTGTCATTTAAAAATTTGAATCATTTTCGTGGATATGATCTTTAGACACACATAATTAAGTATGTTACTGTTTTATCTAATATTTTTTAATTTATCTTTGTAATTACAAATAACACATCCTACAAAGATGTATTAAAATTCTCATTAAATACCTACGTTTATGAATTTGGATTTATTAAAGTTTTCATGGATTGATGTATTATTTATAAAATTTACAGATATATTCATGTATGTAAATAATCTAAATAAGTTCATGAATTATTTGTATCAATTTCTCTTATTTCCTTGAACTTTCTTTAGTCTTAGTTGACATTATTTACATACTTGAAAATACATACTTGTATTGATTATTACATCCGATTGATGTACTAATCAATACCATTTTTAGAGACTACATTACAAAACAATTAGTATAACAAAGGCGTAATAAAAATTAAATTATTTGAATAGGTTAAAAATTAGTACTATACTTTAATCAAAATAAATATTTAATTTGATTAAGCATACTATAAATATTATGAGAAACTACAATATTTTTATAACCATAGAAATTAATTTTTTTAATTAATAATAAAGTGAAATACATATGCTAAGATTGATGAATTTATCGTAAATGTAAAGTAAGTGGTCGCGGAGGAATTCGATCCCTTTCTATCTTATATCTATTATAAAACGTTCTAACATATTTTTGAAAAGTTAGTAATTGTAAAGGTTGTAGTAATGCAAAAATGAGAGTGTATGGATGTGTATTGACCAAGTTTGGATATTTGGGGTTCAGTTGGAATAGCATCGAGGTTCTATCTGCGTTGTACAGTCCGAAAGCTTAGAGCAATTAAGACAAGTAGATATGAAAAGATATGATTAAAGTTTCTTTTATTAAGGCATTATAAATGACCCAACTGGCAAGTACCTGTAATAATACACTGAAGTAACAAAAATATATTACGACAAAGTATTAGATACCTCTAAAATTTAATAGGGATCACATTCCTCCCTCATTTTATTTTACCAAAATAATTCCTTTTATGTTTAATTATAAATAAGAATAATCATCAATTAGTGATAAATATGTAGAAAGATGTCTACTTACAAATATGAATTATAAAATTAAACATTCTAATAATAATTAGAAACATCAAAATATCCTAAGGTTTTATGTAAAATTTGACTTCAAAATTACAAAGGTCAAGTAATATCAACTAGTAAATATGCTGATACCAAAAAACTCGAATAATTTCCTACTCAATAAAAAAAATATTTTGTGGTAACTTCTCCTATAAATAGGTCACATTTGAATCAAGCAAACGAATAGTCGTATCTTTCCTTTTCCTTAATGAATCAAGAAAACGGAATCAATTAAGCAATTTTATTTTATCCGAGGACGGATTAAGATCTATATGGGGTCTCGGGGAAGTAACTAGAGAATGACATTTTTAAGGTAATGAAGAAACTGAAGCTACAATACATACCTATATATATAGATTCTATTATAAAAAATTGCAACTGTAGATTATTCCACTACTTTAGTACAAATAAATAACAATATACTTAAAAACATCATCTTTAAATTTATTAGATTAATTTAAATCTAAAGCACTAATTATACTTTTTGATAACAATAGTATAATAACTATTTTACATAAATAATAATTAAAATTACTTGAAAATTTACTTAAGTATTGCTTATAATTTTTTAAAGTAAATACAAATAATAATATTTATTTATACAAACTATAAATATATTTTAACTCGCACAACCAAATGAGTGACACCTACAAATTTTAAGTGTTAATGAGACATTGAATTCACAAAATAAAAAAAATTATTTTATTTATATAACAAATTAATTACCAAATTTTATATGGACAACAAATATCAGAATCTTTTTCATAAAAAGTATTATCTAAAAATAAAATTTAATTGAAGTCCTACTCCTTAAAAATATTTTGTTAAATAAAGATCTTAGTCTAAAAATTAAGACCTCAACATTTGTTTTTAAATGGTCTGTATTCTCTGAAATGTTATTTTGAAACTATGGAAAATTCATCTAGCTTTAATTTTTTTTTTTTTTTTACATTTTACCATTATGAAAAATATTAACATAATATGTAGCATTAGTAAATTCTTTGACTTCCAACATTTAAACAAATACAAGCGAGTTTAAACAGAAACTCTTATAGAAACTAAATATTTAGGATTTCATGTAAGCAAAGATTTAATATATAATACAATTATTAGTATATCAAAAGATTATTGCTTCACATAATTTATAATTATTTCTGACAAATTTACCGAAACATTTTATGTACAATATTTTGAAAAATAAAGTTGTTTCCCTTAAAGAATAAATATTTCCAATTTTATTAGATATACTTAATATGGAAATCCTTAATGTTTATTATAATATAAAAAAATTAATTATAAATATATTTATTCCTAAAAACTTAATAAAAACAAGGACAATAATTTCTGATTATTATGTCATTCCTTAATAATTTACCATTATTTTTATATTCACTAATATTAGGGTTAATTACTATTATTTATTTTTAAGAGAGTTAATGGGTATTTCATGTAAGAAAAATTATACAAATCTATATATATATAACATATATATATAAATACATATTTATTTAGTACTTATTTTGTTTATACAAATATAAAAAAGGAAAGAATTTTAAATTGATAAAAAAATAATATTACATCTATAAGAATAATAAAAAGATATTTTAAGAAATATTAAGGAATACAAAATAAAAAGAAGTTATATGTATATTAATTAAAAAATAGGTCAAGTTCAGAAATATCAAATTGTTGAACAAAGGTGATCATATATAAATAACTTGCGATAAGTAACAATTGAGCTAATAATATATATCTATGAAAACAGTGTTTTAATTAAATGGTACTTCAGATTTTTCGCTAGAATCAGATTCTGTTTGACAATCTTCATCAATTTCATTTTCATCTTGATCTACCTCAGCACCAGAAAACATGTATCGTCTTTTCTTTAACATATAATAAGTGTTTGCTGAAATTGATAAATAATAATTTAATAATTGGTGAAAAAAGAAATTCAATTATATTTTCACTACTTGGTAAATAGGATGCTAGACTAGTTTTTTGAGGATCATCTGAATCAATACCGCTATCTCTTGTAGAGTCTGTTGATAAATTACGTTGCTCGCTAGTTGATGAGCTAGCAGTATATCTATCATCGTTAAGGGATAAAGACATGCTATTGGCACTATCACGTGAGTCTGTATTCATTTCATTTTGGGCAGTATCATCAATTGATAAATTAGGACTAAAGATAGCAAAAATTTATAAACATTATCACATATTAAATAACTTTATTGATCATTAATAATTTTAAATTTTAATTATCAATCTAAATATAATAAAAATTAAATAAATACCTTCTTGGAGATGATTTAGGAAAGTTTAAAACTTTTGTTTCTGTAAGTTGTTCTTTACACCAATAGATATCAGACCAATCTGGACCAAGCCTGTCACAAAAATGTATTAATTATTACTGTATTTAAGCTTAAAATTGTTGATAATAGTTAATTACATGCGACATAGGTGATCAACTATAACATCACTATCACCGAGAAGTTCAACGTCAAAATTCATATGAGGAAGTCTTTCACGGTTGATTAATATTTGTGGCACATGTTTATTCAACATACCTAAAAATTAATTATATAGTTTTACTATACTTATATACAAGTTTTATAATATATTTCAAAAATAAAGTTGTTTTCCTTTCATTTAAATTGAGGAAACTCAATTTAAGATAAGTTAATATGTACGTCTAAAAACTAGTATATGTTACACATATCTTTAAGATATATGTTACATATTACTGTAAGTAGAAATAACTTATTAACAATGATTGGTTAATTTGATAAGTTATATTTATAAGAAACAATTTTGTACTATGTTTGTACAGCAAATAGTAGTAATAAGTAAATATATTCACAAATAGAAAAAAAATTACAAAAATTACTTTTGGCAAGTTTCTTCTTTAAGTTGACAATATTTTAGAATACATTTGGGAATAAACTACTAGGTCTTTTTTCAGTATAAAATACAAAAATTATTTAAAAAAATAACTTTAGTCTATTTTTATTTTTAACATAATATTTTTACTTCAAATTTGTTTTCGAATATTTACTTTTACTCAATTGATAAATAAGTACTTAAATATATAGAGTGATTAATTTATTATTGATCGCTAGATTTCTTCAAAAATAATAACTTAGAGACATATTTTTTTTGCTAATCTAAGTAGTATTTATTGATTTTTAAGTGGTCAATCATTTTTATTATCAGTTTTCCCTTAAAAGAACATTATCTAATTTTTTAAAATGAAAACACACATATTAGCTTCGATGCGAAGCTGAGAAGGTATTAATTTTACTATGATGTGTTTTTTTATTTTTTTTTTTTTTGTGTCTGTGAACGCTCAATCTCAGCTCTCGCTGGACCGATTTTGATGAACAATATGTCAAAAGATCACAAATCGTATCTAGTCGAAGACATTACCCTCAAAAATTGAAAAAAATTCCCTCGTTCCCCGTAAACGAGGGAAATGCCCCAAAAAATTACAAATTTAAAAATCGCTAATTTTCGATATTTTTTCAATTTTTTTTAATTAAAATTGCTGCAACTTTTTCAAAAATGATCGAATCAATATAATTTTTTTTTTTTATAGATACCTTAAATATTTACCTATCATTTTATATATTTTTGTGAACATTTGACCCTTTAACAGCCCACAGGAAGGGTTTCAAAATGGTAGCTTTTTTACAAAAAATTAACTTTTTCAACTTAACTTTTGAAAATGTTCCGGAAAGACTGACAATTTTATATATACCTTAAATTAAAGCTAATGTAATATACTTTAATTTGAAAAAAAAAAATTTGACCTCTGGACTTGTCTTCATGGTGAAAATGACTACCGTATGCAAAAATATGCTATTTTTGTGAAAAAATTCTTGATATTATATTTTACATTTTTTAACATTATGTTGCTATAACTTTTTAAAAAATGCATGAATCAACTTTATTCTTTAATGATAAATACTTTATATATACTTCTTTCATTCGACATACTTTTTTTTAAAATCGGACCATTTCCCTTTATACAGGGGGGGTGCAAACCTTTTAAAATGCGTATAGAAAGTAGAACTTTTTCAACTTAACTTTTGAAAATGTTCCGGAAAGACTGACACTTTTATATATATCTTAAATTAAAGCTTATGTAATATACTTTAATTTGAAAAAAAAAAATTTGACCTCTGGACTTGTCTTCGTGGTGAAAACGGACATCAAAGTTAAAGAAAAACGTACGATTTCCGTGAAAAAAATCTCGATTTTATATGTTATATTATTTAATTTATATTTTATATAACTTTTGGAAAAATGTATGGATCAATATTATTATTTTTTTATAATAAATATTTATATACCCCTTTCATCTGGCACGCTTTTTTTGTAAATCGGATCATACCCCTTTAACAAGGGGGGTCAAAACTTTAAACATGCGTATTGTTACTACGATATTTTCAATTTAATTTTTGAAAGTATTCCGGAAATACTGACACTTTTAAATATATCTTAAATTAAAGCTTATGTAATATACTTTAATGTGAAAAAAAAAAATTTGACCTCTGGATTTGTCTTCATGGTAAAAATGACTACCGTATGCAAAAATATGCTATTTTTGTGTTAAAATTCTGGGTTTTGTATTTTATTTTATTTTAAAATACCTGACAAGGGGAGTACAGATTTTCATAAATATTATATAAATTAAAATTGATATAGTATAGATAGTTAAACTTATTTAAATATGTTTGTTTCTTTTAAGTCGAGAAAAATAACTTTGAAATTTGAACTAGCTTAAATAGCCAATTTTTCAACCGCCGGAAGCAACGTACGGTTGCCGAGTTGGTAAAATTTATGTTTTACACGCTTGGGGTACGAGGTTCCAACCCGCATATGGCAATGAATTTTTTGCATTTTTTCTTAATTCTTTTTAAGTTAGTATAAATTTTAACTCGTTTGATTTTTATCACATTTAGATTCAATAACTTCAATAAAGATCAAGGATCCCATCACTTTAGTCGCCCCTTGCAAGAAGAAATTTCTTATTCGTATTAAAATTATTTTACTATATTTTAAGTTTTCGCTTCGATGCAAAGCCGAGAAGATATTTTTTTGTGACTATCATTTATTTTCTCTGCTCTAACTTGACCTACTTTTTTCAACAATACGTCAAATTACTACAATTCGTATCTAGTTGAAGATATTACTCTCAAAAATTGAAAAAAAAATTCTAATTTATCAATTAAACAGTTAGTTATTACATCGTCTCCATAAAGACAATTAAAATCATTAATTTCTAATGTTTTCAAAATATTTATTAACGAATGAAGTTTGATATGATAGGTTTCAACTACAAAATTAAATCATTTTACTTTGTAATTTAATAATTTTATTACTCTGTTTGTGTGTGCTACTATTAGACTATAATATTCAAATTTTTTTCTAACGTGTTGCTATATAAATCATTTCTAAAAAAAATGATTGTTTTTTCTCCTGAATTAACAATTGATTTTTACAAATATAATCAAATTTTATAATAAACTCAATTGAGTAAATCTTTTTAACAACTTTGTTTTGATTGGTACATTTAGTTAAAGTAAATCATTAAAATTAATTAAGTTCTCAATATTTCAATTATAGAATCTTTTCAACAAACAACAAAAGTTCCTAGGAAATTATTACTATTACTTCTATTTAAGTTATCTATTACCATAAAAATGCAAAAAAATATTGAGCTTTTCTGATAAATTTACAATAAATAGTAATTATAAAACTTTCTGACTGCATATTGATCTTAACGATACAATTTTTTTAATTGTCATAAAATTTTCTATTTAATTATGTCAATGTCAAACTTACCAATTGAGCTAAAAGTTATGGTAAAATAAATTTTTTTTTTTTTTTATAAACATTTACAACAATCAACTTTAAACGATTAACAAAATTGGTTAAATATGTCATTTTCCTTATTTTTAACTTATTAATAATCAAATTAATATTAAATATTATATCAAATCAGTATTAATTTAAAACAATTTTTTTTGTTCTTAATTATTTTTTTTTATATGTAAAAACTATTTTTTAATAATATTAAAACTTAGAAGTTATAGAAAAAGTCTAATTGCACATTTTAAAACATCGCGAAAAGTTGATTTAGAATAGTATATTTTTGTTTCTGATGGAAGTTCCTTGTAGTCCAGTGTATAAAACTTATAACTTTGTTAATTGTTATAACTTTATCAAAAATGACCAAATCAGTATATTTTTTTTTATTTAGATGCATGTCTTTATCTATCATTTGGTTTTTTTTATAAATCTAACCCTTTACCTGCCCACAAGAGGGATTCAAAATATTAACTTTTTTTTTTTTAGTTAAAGTAAATCATTAAAATTAATTCAGTTCTGGATATTTCAATAGTAGAATCTTTTTAAATATCAAAAATTACTTAGAAATGATTACTATGATTTCTATTTAAGTGTTCTATTACGATAAAAATGCAAAAAATAATGAGTTTTTCTGATAAATTTACAATAAATAATAATTATAAAACTTTCTGACTGCATATTAATCTTAAAAATAACATTGTTTTAATTCTCATAAAATTTTCTATTTAATGATTCATTCTAGTCAACGAAGGAGTAATTTTGCAGAATAGCAGAAAAAATTCCCAACAAACTTTTTTTTTTTTTGTTTTAATTAGGCAATTGGTGGATTATTCCAAAAGCAACATCAACTCTTATTTCTTTAATTATATCATGATTAGTAGTTCTTTGATTTTAAAATATAATATTTGAATATATACTAATTATAATTATTAAATTTAGTATGAAATTGATATTTAATATTGTAATTTAAACGGAGAAATTATAAAAATAATAAAGAAGTTATATTTTGCTTTACTTTTACGTGTATAAAAATTTAAAGGGCTTGATACAATAATTTTCAATAAAAACTGTTTGTTACTATAAAAAAATGCACTGGACTACAAGGAACTTTCATCAGAAGCAAAAATATACTTTTCTAAATCAACTTTTCGCGTTGTTTTCAAATCTGCAAGTAGACTATTTCTATCACTTCTAATTTTTTATATTATTACTAATTATATATATAAAATAATAATTAAAAGAAAAAAAAATTTGTTTTCAAATTATTACTGATTTGATTTTTAATATGTTAAAAATAATCAGTCCAAATTTTCAATTTTAACCTATTTTTTTGGTTCTTTAAAGTTGATGAAAAATTTTTGATAAAGATTTATGAAAGTTTATAGTAAAATAAATTGAATATATTACCATAACTTTTAGCTCAATTACAAGTTTAAAATTGACATCTAGGCCAGTCAACAAAGGAAAAATTGCGGAAAAAATTTTGTTTTTTTAAAAGTTGAATTAAAATATGTATAATGACATACTAATAGTCCTCAAGATTGGAATTGAGCTTTTTTTTTAAATCCTCGCAAAAGTTCAAAAATATGAGCTTTCTTAATTTTCTCAAAAAAAAATATTTAACTTACAAAAAAAAGTTTCGCACAAAAGTTGTTTAAAAGACAATTATAAATAAAAATATAATCTTATATTTTTTCATTTAAACAAATATTTTTCGAGTTACATTACATTTAATATGAGTAATAAAATTTATATTCCATTTTTTTCATTTTACGGTTACTTTTTATCATGTTATACTTACATTAGACACAATGTTATAAATGTATATGTGTGTATGTGTGAGTTTATTTATTTATTGTATCATTAAAGTGTAGTGTATATTGAGATACAAGCAATAGAGTAGGTAATTGATTTGACGCTATATTATTTAAACCCAACTAAACGCTAAATTGTACATTCCGAAATAACAATCATATTATGTCAATTGCCACCGGAATTTCTGGTAATATTTTTCTTTTTCTTTGCCTTAATCCCAACTACTTGGGGTCGGGCACCCTTATCCTAAGATTCCACTTGACACGATCTCCCACATCTTCTACGCTCACATCAGCTGTCCTCAAATCGCATTCAATAGCATCCCTCCATCTCTTTTTTGGTCTTCCTCTATCTCTTCTTCCTTCAACATTCATTTCTATAACTGTTCTTACAGCTATCGATTCTTCTTTCCTCATACCATGACTATCTATGACTACNTTCTTTCCTCATACCATGACTAAACAATCTAAGTCTATTTTCTGTCATCTTATCCACGATTGACGCAACACCTATACTTCCTCTTATATGCTCGTTCCTTATCCTATCTTCTCTAGTCACTCCACTCATCCAACTAAGCATTCTCATCTCTGCTACACTTATTCTCTGCTCTACTTTCTTATCAACCGCCCAACACTATGAACCATACATCATAGCTGGCAACACAATTTCATACTAAATTTAAAAACTATAATTAGTATTTATTCATATATTATATTTTAAAATCAAAGAACTACTAATCAGGATATAATTAAAGAAATAAGAGTTCATGTTGCTTTTAAAATATTTCACCAATTTCTCTAAAGGAAACACTATCTACAGATTTGCATCGAAGCGTTTCTTATGATAGTGATTTTAATCACTGTCAGATATCATCTATACTTGTCCCATCTATGCCTCGTCCACACTGTGCCTCGACCCCACTGTGCTACCGTTTTTTACTAACTTAAATGTTAGAAAAATATCTAACTAAGAAAGTGACTTTTTTTAGTCAGTAATCAACTTTTGAACCAAAAATTTTTAAGTTATAAACATTTTACTAGTGGTGTTGAGAAGAGTGCAGCAGAGTGATTCTTAATGATAAAAAGAACATAATTCACTACTTGCCTTCCATTAACATTTCAATCAAATACCTTATTGATATATTAAACTAAAGCAAGTTATGTAGAACTTACTGGGAATACGAGCAACAGGGCGTACTTTTAGTGAAGATCCTATCACTATTAACAAATCACAATTATTTTTATCTTCTTCAATTGCTTTGTGGAAACTATCAGGTAAACCTTCACCAAAAAACACTATATCAGGTTTCATTATTCCACCACTATCCACACATATAGGACATCTGGGGATCCTTTGATCAAACACATCAGGTTTTATAGTATCTGCTGAAACTTTGTGGCCACACTGAGTGCAAGATGCAGTAGCAAATGAACCTAAAGATACAATTTTATTTGATCAGTTTAAAAATAGTAATGTATTTTAATAGCTAATATCTCTTATAAAATTATTTTAACATACCATGGCATTCAATCACTTTTTCAATGCCTACTACTTGCTCTAAAGTATCAATATTTTGTGTATAGTTTCTTAAAAGCCGTCCTTTTTTTTCTAAGGCTTTGATAAATCTTTAATAATAAATAGAAGGGTTTAATTTTTGTTTATAATATTTAAACAGAATGTTCAATATGAAATAAAATACGTTAATTATGATGAAGAATATAAACACAGATTTTTATTCTCTACTTTTTATACTTTAAAAGAACTTGAAAAATAAACTATGTAAAATACTTACTGGTGAGATGGAGATGGTTTAAACTGCCCTGGATATATTTCTCTTGCAAATTTGAAAAAGGGTCTTGGATCTTTTCTAAAATAATCAATACAAAACATAGATTGTGGATCAGGTAAATCAGGGAATTCTGTAGCTAGTCTAGCATAAACTCCATTATGACTACGAAAATCTGGGATACCACAAGAAACTGAAACCTTAAAAATAAATAATTCCATAACTATAAATTATACTTCAGTATAACTATTATTATTTCAAAATTTATGTATGTTTGTTAACAGAATACAAATTATGTAAGATTATATTATGACAAATTGTTAGTAGTAGTGTACAATACATATAAGAAGATACAAAAAAAAATGTAAGTTTTTGAAATTTTTATCATTACATTTTTTACTATTTTAAATGTTCTGTAGAAGTTTCAAATAGAAGAATTGTTATTTTTACAATAAAATCCATTAATCTATAGTGCTATCCATTAATAGTAATATCTTATAAAATTGGATTGTAGCATTATAAATTGTATAATTATTATTTATCTAAGGTACTTACTCCTGCTCCTGTTAGAACCATAATTCTCGTACTTGATTTCAGCAGCCTAATAACATCATCTAATGTACTGACATCACGTAATTTATTTCGCACGGGGCAATCATCAGTCATACTTAAAATAATCTAAAATAAAATTTTTTAACATTATAAAGCAACTGATTTACCAAAGAATAAATTAACCCTACCCTCCATAATGTAATGTCTTCTAACTGTGATGGTACAGTAGCTCCAAATACTTGATGCAATAATCGTCTTGGATTAATTCCATTCATTATTTGTCTTTGAACCCAACTCATTGAACCTATAAAAAAACATTAAAATGTGTAAGTTTTTTTTAGGACTATTTATGGTTTAATAATTACCTGGTGGTTCTTTTTCAGAATCTAAGTTATCTGACTGTGTACTTGAATCTGAACTTGAAGTAGAAGAAGTATCATCATCTTCACCTTCTTCTTTATTATCAGAACTTTCATCAAATAAGCTGAAAATTAAAATTATGATTAAGAAAATTTTTAAAGATAAATGGGAAAAATATCTTCATAGTATTTAACATTTATAAAACTCAACAATTTAAAACTGTTATTATCATATGTAGTTATATAATTTTTTTAAGAGGTAATGGGATAAACATTATTTATATGTAGAAAAATTCATACAATTAATTAATTTTAAAGAGTCAACTTTTATAGGGTGATCCAACATATTTTAATGCAAATATATACTAAACATTAAGTAGTCCATCAATATATTCTTGCATCATAAAATATATTAATTTCACCATGAATTATAATTTATAGTTTATTTTAAATTTAAAGAAATATATAAAAAAATGCTTTTATAGCCTTATGAGTTTTATAAAATTTAAATTAATAGAGCAAGAAAGAGCAAAATAGAAAATACTGTTTAAATAATCAAGTGATTACCTCGAGTCTTCTGGAGATTCAGGTAAGCTTGATGACATAATCAACGGTCTTGGTGAAGATGGTTTTAAATAGTTTGGTGATAATGTGTCTAATGATTTGTATGATAAATTGTTAGCTGAAAGTAAAATGAAATGATTTAATTAAAATAGTATAATATAAAAGAAACTATAAATCTATCAACAACCTCCATAATTATTATAACTTTGAAATATTAAAAATTGCAAACTATAANCCATAATTATTATAACTTTGAAATATTAAAAATTGCAAACTATAAAATATGTAATTGTGAAAACAAAAATTTTTATTAACAGTTTAAGAAACCTTAATTAAAATTACTTAGTAATTCGATATAATATATATATTTAAGTTATAAATAATTCAATAAAGAGTTATCTAAAATTGAAATATTAATTTTATTTTTAACACTTTTTAATTATTATCAAACGAAATCTCAAAAAATTTCATAAACGTAAGATATATGATTTATACTGAAAATCATCTAGTTGTATCTTAGGTCTCCAAAAAAAGAAACTTGAGTTAATTTTATCAATTTTATTGATTTAGGCCTCTTCTCAAAGAAACTAATAGTTACTATGTAAAATAATTGTTAAATAAAAAATTAATATAATTTTAAATAATTTGATAAACGGAAATTTGATAAGAGATAAAAAGATTATCAAGAAATTGATATAAATATTGTTGATAATACAGAAAGACATTAACAAATATTAAATGTATATGAGTAAATCAAAATTAGAAAATAAACGTTTTATTTAAATTAAGCAAATAGTTTGTGAAAAAAAAAAATGGTGACATCACTCATGTAATCAAATATTTAATAACTGTAATAGATGAGAGATGAACGGGGGGGAGAGGTAGACGCCCGTCAAAATGTCCGCCTGACGTGTGACAAATACAAAGAGAAATCCGCCATATTTGTAATGCGTCTTAACTTACCGCGAATTCCAAAATTTAGCTTTTTTAAGAACTTACCATAGGAATCACCGGACGAAAACCCTGTGAACCGATGTCCGTAATTTTGGTATTGAGAATTCTCGGCGATTTCGTCGGCAAACGAGTACCTCATGCGTTTTGCAGGTGCCGCGGCGAGATCCGTGTCAAAGTCACCGTTGTCGGACGCCATTACGCGGTTAGTAGTAGTGTGAGGGTGTGGAGGAGTCGGCGACGCGGCAACAACGAGCCTTCGTACGGCACAATTGCTCTGACGCCACTGATCATCGACCAATCATGATTCATTTTCGTTGATTTAGCCAACTTCATGAGATATGAGGAATTTGTTTATTACAGTGTAACCAACAAAATATTCTAATATTTTACCGCTTTTTTTTTAAATTATTTTATATATCTTTAAATCTGTCGACTTGACCCAACCGAGCTCTAACTGAACTAACTGAACTCCTTTGTTGTAAAATAAAAAAGGTAGTTAAAGCAATTCCTGGCTTATTAGTGGATTATGATTAGCTGTTGAGTGGTATTAAAAGTCATGGTAGAGACGTCGAACTAATTTTTACAAGGGGGTAAAAATTTAATGACTATAAATCAATTCCTTTAATTGTTTCAAAACTAAAAAAGCTAGTAAATCAATGTTTTAGTCATTTTTAGTGATTATATAAAAAAAATCTGGTAGTTTATAAACTCTACCATTGATTATGCTAATTATTTTTTACAGTGTTGGGAAAGTTCCTTTTTAAATGGAACTCGTTCCGTTCCCCGTTCATTTTCTAAAATATGAACTCGTTCCAGATCCTAGTTCTTTATATTAAGAAGGAACTTGTTCCAGATCCAGTTCCTCCAAAATAAGAACTCGTTCCACTCTTCGTTCCTTTTATGTAACCAAGTTATTTAAAAAATTGTTTTTATTTTTATTATGAATTTTTAGATTATATGGCATATTTAAATCAAAAGGCATAAATAAATATGTTTAATAATGTTTTATAACTAGTAACTACACAAAAACAATTACATCATTCTGTAATAAAAATGTATAACTATACTACTGATCTTTTAAATCAGAATATAAATAACTACTATAATAATTAAAATGCTACACATTACAGGTGTAGTTTTAAATATTATAACATTGTAATAATGCATATTTCTTATTATTAGACTTATAGCTGTCAACTGTAAAAAATTTGTACAGTTAACAACTATTTACACTATTTACAACTACTTATTTACAGTTTTACTATTTAATAGTATTATATTAAAAGTATTTTTAGTATTTAACACACACATTAATTACAAATTTGAGAATTATTAGTCCTATTAAAACAAAACAAAATTTTCATTTTATATACCAAATTTGTTTTATTTTAATAGAACTAATTTTTCAAAAAGTGAATCACTCAATTTATGGCGTTTTTGTGTCATCACATTGAAACCTGTCGAAAACAGTCGCTCAACAGGAGCACTAGATGGAAGGGGTGTGTTAAATTCTAAAAATACTTTTAATATTGCAGGGTACAATAGTAACACAGTCAAGTCTTTCGACTGGCATTTTAAGAATAATTCTAACTCTTCAATACGAGAACTTGAAGTTGTATTTTTCTCTACTGGTAAACATATATTAAATATTTACTGTATACCTACATGTGATAATAACTCTATTTATAGTCAATTGATTCATTTAAACATCCTACGATCTCGGTTGGGTATATAGGGGACTTCCATTGTCAAAAGTCAACTAAAAATACCTTAATATTTTAATGTCTAGATACGAAGAAAACTACACTTAAACATGTTTATAAAAATTTTTAGGAACTGTAATTTCCGTTCACGTTCCTTAAAAAATGGAATTTGTTCATTTTCCTCGTTCCTTTATTTTAAAAGGAAGCAGTTCCTAGCATCGTTACTTCAAAAAGAACTCGTTCCAGGAATCCGTTCCTTTTGGAACTAGTTCCTTCTCAACACTGATTTTTTATTATATTATTAATTATAAATTTATTGATAATATACTAAAATATATTTTTTAGGATTAATGTAATTTATTTTCATAATTATGAAAATTATCTTATTATTAACTTTATTAAGTTAATATAAACCCAACCATGTAGTTACTAAAGAAAAAATAAATTATACAAAGTGCTAGTGAAACCAGATGCACTATATTCTAGCGGAGCTTAGATGACTACGAAAACAAATGAAAATAAACTAGCTAGTTTTGAACAAGAGTTCCTCAGTAGGATATTTGGATACAAAAAAAAACGGAAGCACATGGGGTCGCGGCATAGTATGTACGTGACATCGGACAAGTATAGATGATATCTGTCAGTAAATAAAATCATTCCTAAAAAACACTTCGATGCAAATCTGGAGATAGCATTTAATTCTAAGAAATTGGTAGATAATTACAAAAGCAACATCAACTACTATTTCCTAAATTATATTCTGATTAATAGTTCTTTGATTTAAAAGTATGATATATGAATAAATACTAATTATAGTAATTAAATTTAGTATGAAATTGATATTCAATAATTTAATATTGTAATTTTTACGGAGAAATTATAAATATAATGAAGTAGTTGTATATTTATTATGCTTTTAACGTATATAAAAATTTAAATGGCTTGATGCAATAATTTTCAAAAAAAAATTCTTGTTCCTTATGAATAAACCTGTATATTTATACAGGTCAACACGGAACTTTCATCAATATCAAAAATATACTTTTCGCGCCGTTTTCAAATCTGTAATTATACTTTTTTTTATCACTTCTAATTTTTGATATAATTACTAATTAGTAAAAAATGAGTATTTACACATTAAAGAATAATTACAAAAAATTGGTTTTTAAATTATTACCGTTTTTGATTCTTAATATGTTAAAAATAATCATAGCAAAATATCAATTTTAACCTACTTTTTTTGATCCTTAAAAGTTGATTTTTGTGAAGATTTATAGTAAAAAAAATTTGAATTGGTTACCATAACGTTTAGCTCAACATGCATGTTTGAAATTGATATCACTAAATAGAAAATTTTTTAAGACTTAAAAAATTTTATTGTTAGGATTAATATGCAGTCAGTAAATTTTATAATTACTAATTACAGTAAATTTATCAGTTAAGCACAATATTTTTTTGTATTTTTATCGTAATAGATCACTTAAATAGAAATTACAATAATAATTTCTAAATAATTTTTGGTATTTAAAAAATATTTTACAATTGAAACATTCAGAACTTAATTAAGTTTTAATAATTTACTTAAACTAAGAAAAACCGATAAAAAAGTTGTTAAAAAACTCTACTCAATTGGAGCGTATTATAAATTTAATTGTAATCGTAAAAATAATTTGATAAATTCAGATAAAACTAATATTCATTTTTTTTTGGAAATAATTTATAAGTTACCAAAATATTTGGAATATGAGACTCGTAAATAAAAATAGAGTTCAAAAATTAATAAGTTACAAAATAAAATTATTTATACTCGTAAAAGAAAACTATTATCATATCAAACCTAATTCGACAATAAATACTTTAAAAACATTAGAAATTAATGATTTTAATTGTCTATATGGAGAATGTAGATCAAGTAACTTTTTAATTGATAAAGTGGAATATTTTTTTAATTTTGAGGATAATATCTTCAACTAGATACAAATTATAATAATTTGACGTATCGTTGAAAAAAATAGATCAAGTGAGAGCTGAGAAAATAAATGACAAAAAAAAAACACATAGCAAAATAATTTTTATGAACAAGAAATTTCTTCTCATGAGGGGAACTTACAGTGATTGGGTCCTTGATATTCATTGAAGTTATTGAATATAAATGAGATCAAAATCAAAAGAGTTGAACATTTTTTTCTAACTCATAAAGAATTAAGAAATAAATACAGTAAAATTCATTGTCGAACCTTGTATCCTAAGCGTAAAAGACTTAAATGTTACAGAATCGACTCAACCGTTCGTCGATAGATAAAAATGGCAATTTAAGTAGGTTTAAGTTTCAAATAATTATAACTATATATGCTATGTCAATTAGTTTTATATAATACACACACACATATATATATGTATTACCTTTGTGTGGTATTTTAAAATAAATTAAAATACAAAATCAAGAATTTTAACACAAAAATAGCATATTTTTGAATACGACGGTAGCCTTTTTCATTATGAAGACAAACTAAAATTTTCTTTTCGTAATAAAGATATTACATAAGCATTTATTTAATATATATATATATAAATGTCAGTATTTCCGGGACATATTCAAAAATTAAATTGAAAAAGTTCTTGTTTTTAATCGCGTGTTTAAAGTTTTAACGCTCCTTATCATTTAAAGAGAAATGGTCATGATTAAAAAAACAGTGTGTCGGATGAAAAGTGTATATAATAAATATTTAAAAGATAAAATTGTATTGATCTATACATTTTTCTACAAGTGTTAGAAATATAAAGTTAAATATATAAAATATAGAATCGAACACTTTAACACAAAAATAGCATAATTTTGAATACAGTAGCCATTTTTACCATGAAGAAAATCTAATGTTCTAATTCGTACCTAGTCAGATACGATTTGTCATCTTTTGACGTATTGTTCATCAAAATTGGTCCAATAAAAGCTGATAATTAGTGGTAACAGACAAAAAAAATAAACGGTAGCACAGTGGGGTCGAGGCACAGTGTAGACAAGGCATAGATGGGACAAGTATAGATGATATTTGACAGTGATTAAAATCATTATCATAAGAAACGCTTCGATGCAAATCTGTAGATAGTGTTTCATTTTTAAAGAAATTGGTGGATTATTCCAAAAGCAACATCAACTCTTATTTCTTTGATTATATCCTAATTAGTAGTTCTTTGATTTTAAAATATAATATATGAATAAATACTAATTATAATTATTAAATTTAGTATGAAATTGATATTCAATAATTTAATATTGTAATTTAAACCAAGGCCGTAGCTGGAACAAATTTTCGGGGGGGGTTTTAACCAAATTATATGTTTTTAAATAATTTAAAAAAAATACTAATACATAACATAAACAAAAAAAAATTGTCTTACTATTAAGTTAGGTTATACAACAAGATATTATACTTTATGTTATGACCTACCTTTGTCATTAATTTACAAAATTTACCTTTTGAAGTATAGTAAAGTTAAAATACAAAATTATAATACAATACAATACAAAATTTTATGAGTCATTTTTCAGTTTAAATTTTAAAATAATACATTTTTATAGCACAAA